TACAGTATTGTCATGTTCAAGAACCAGTCTGAGATTACTCAGGCTTTATGACATGGCGCGTTATCCTGCTGGAAGTAGCCATCAGAAGATGGGTCCACTGTGGTCATAAAGGGATAAACATGGTCAGCAACAATACTTAGGTGGGGTTGACACGATGCTCAATTTTGATTGTAATGGGCCCAAAGTGTGCCAATAATGTATTACATTCAATTCAATTCAGCTTTATTTGTGTAGCGCTTTTACAATGTAGATTGTGTCAAAGCAGCTTCACATAAATAGTCATAGTAACTGGAACAGTGTAGTTCAGTTTTTAGTGTTTAAGTTCAGTTCAGTTTAGCTCAGTTCAGTGTGATTTAAAATCATTACTGAGAGTTCAAACATTGAAGAGCAAATTCATCGATGCGTTCATATTGCAAGCTTTCATATTGTTGATGCCATATGTCAGATGGAGAAGTTTGACAAGTTCTCAAGTTTGACATACACAATAGTGTATGTGAAGAGTTCTGCACAAACAGAAAAGTGTGCACAGGGAGTGTGCATGGATGTCCATGAAAACTGTGCCACAGAGACAGTGTGCAAAATACAGATAGCTGAAATACGCATTGGGCTTTACAGTGAGTCAGTGAGCAGAGAAAGTGGGCCAGATTACACTCTTGTTTTCAGCTCATAAAGTGTTAATGAGGTGGGGGGGTTGGGTCCAGACCTCACTATTCCACAGGTCCTCTTTCACAGGGTGACCAATAACAGCCGATTCCCATATCAAACAATAACATTCCTCAAATGCCATAGTGCTGACAGGGTTAAAAACACATAACAGCAGAGGTCAGGGGTCAGTCCCACTCAGGGCTGTTGAGTACATAAACTGAAAGGTTAAACCGGGACTTTAAATAAGATCTGGAATGATTGAAAAATCTGATCTGCCAAAAGAATGTCGACCGATGATTAATGCAAGCGAAGAACATTCCGGAGGTTTAACTCTGAGCTGATATGATGATTTTCATCTCCACTGAGAGGAACATCAGCCAAATAACATGGAAGTTATGCAAAATCTGTCAAACATGGCATCTGATGAAGTTTACACTGAAATACAAATCCGCTGACTGTTATGCTTCTTCACAAACATGTGGCAGTTGTTTTAAAGAAAAGCAAGCTTCACTTTGGTTAGATATTTCTCCCATATTTACATGACTTTTTGGTGCTGTTGGACAAATAGAGCACAAAGTCTAAGCATAAGGGCTAAAACACTAGAGAGTAAACACAACTGAGCCTGTCAATGTTTAGTTTGGATGATCTTACTAATAAAATGCTAAATAAAAATGCTAAATACCAGGTTCCACCACCTGTTCTTCATTCTAAAACTGACAACTATAAGTTTTTTTTTAAAGAATTAGCTCCCCAAAAAGAATATTTACTTCACTCATACTGTTCCAAACCTATAAAAAAAGTGCATCTTAAAACACAAATTTAGTTAATCACTGTATGGCTGCAAAACATATAGTTTGAGCATCAATCAATATCACACTGCAGGATTTTGATCATTTATTAAAAATTATGAGATATATAATCAAAACTTATATTTACAATTATATAATGATGACCATATCATTTCATGTTTTATTGTTAAATTTCTGTATTTACTGCTAGACTCTACAAAAACCATAAAGCACTGTTTATTTAACTTTCATCTTTGCTCTGTTGCATTTATATTTGCTTGTAATTCATTATAATTCATGCAGATGCAGTGCTTAGAAAAAGACTTGAGCATCCCAGTCCATCTAAAAAATTAAATCTTTTCAAATAGAGCTATTCAATTTATCTGGTGAAATTATTTTAGTTTTTCTTAATTGCTTTGACTCAATTTTTGATTGAATTTTTTACTTTTTAGAACAAAAAGTTTAGATCTCTGAACAGTTCGCTTATTGTTCACTCCAGAGTGGCATTTCTTATCGATTTAAGCAAATTGCAGAAGCTGAGGCGCACGTGCGCAAACAGTAAGTACAATTGTCTGTAATTTGGACAAAAGCTAATTGCATATGACTTGTTGATCAAATCTGATGGGTCGATTCTCAAACTCTTCACAACTTTTCACTAATTTTTCCATCACACTTAAAACTGATTATTCAGTTATCAAACATTTGATGACACGTTTACATCATAAATATCTGATACTGACATTGTTTGTAACGTCTGTTAAACTGGTAAATGACCTCTAGTTGCAATACAATTTGCGTTATCTATTTATCATATACCAAACTATCTATATATATATATATATATATATATATATATATATATATATATATATATATATATATATATATATATATATATATATATATATTTATACGCACACACACACAGCACAATCACTACATTGAAAATTCTGAAGTGCAGCAACATGCAGAGTATAATCTCTGGCAAGGGCAACAGGAGCGACAGAATGTCCACAAAGTGTCATTTTTTTCATGGATGATATTTTGTAGCTTTTTGTGTATTTGTGGTAACATAAGAAATATGAAAAATACAATACAGTAATTGGACAAGCAAGACTGCACTTGTGACACGTGATACATTTGTACAAAAAAAAATAAACTGTATAAATACAAATACAGTTCATATATCTTTTTCTCTGTACTCTTCTTAACAAATATCAGATTTGTTTTAAACCGTATTTTCCATGGTTGCCTGTCGTCATAAATAAACAACTAATCAATAAAAGCAATGTGGCTCACACAGTGACAAATAATCTTTATATTTTGGTGGTCCTGGTCAAATTTTTGACACAATACCTAGGTTTTGAAAAATGAATGAAATGTTTTGGGGAGTATGCAGCCCCAATCCTTTACACTTTGAAAAAATTAACAGCATTTTAGTTTGGTCACAGAAGCTCAAACATGCTTGCTTGTCGTGCAACAACCAGCTTCTCTATATGGTTGAGCTTCTGTTTACAATCCCTGATCGAAACATACGTCAACAAATGTCTACATGAAATCTGTTCATTATGTAATGCAGTTGCGTGCTGTCAGAAGGCTTAAAAAGATTAAAGGCACAGTCAGTTTCATTTTTTGAGGGCATTATGTATGTATGTATGTATGTATGTATGTATGTATATATGTATTTATGTACAGTTGAAATCAGAATTATTAGCCCTCTTCACTTTTTTTTCTTCTTTTTAAAATAATTTCCAAATGATGTTTAACAGAGCAAGGAAATTTTCACAGTATGTCTGATAATATTTTTTTCTTCTGGGAAAAGTATTGTTTGTTTAATTTTGGCTAGAATAAAAACAGTTTTTAATTTTTCAAACACCATTTTAGGGACAAAATGATTAGCTCCTTTGAGCTATATTTTTTCTCTATAGTCTACAGAACAAACCATAATAATACAATAACTTTCCTTATTACCCTACCCTGCCTAGTTAACCTAATTAACCTAGTTAAGCCTTTAAATGTCACTTTAAGCTGTATAGAAGTGTCTTGAAAAATATCTAGTCATCATGGCAAAGATAAAATTAAATCAGTTATTAGAAATGAGTTATTAAAACTATTATGTTTTGAAATGTGTTGAAAAAAATCTTCTCTCCGGTAAACAGAAATTGGGGAAAAAATAAACAACCGGTCTAATAATTCAGGGGGGCTAATAATTCTGACTTCAACTGTATGTATGTACCGTATGTATGTATGTATTCTCAACAAACGTGTCTGAGTGTGTATTCATGGGAGTTGTTATCATCCTTTAAATCCAGACTCCAGCAGAAATCATGTTCATGAATGAAGTATTAATTATTATCATAGTTTGAAGCTAAATAATGTTGAAAGTGGTCATAGAAAAACAAAACAGTTGAAGTTGTTGCTGATGAGAGATGAGAGTGATTCAGAACTGAAAACAGCGAAGCTGTTTTATTACATCAATGTCATTAAATACATTTCAAGACTCCGTTATCATGCTGCTCTGTGCAGTCTAATAAAATTCACAACACATTAAAAGCATCTTTGGTGTTTCCCCTGTTTTGTACGTCATTAGTATTGTGATACAGGACAGGGCCTTACTAGTTAAAACACTTAGATTCTAGATTGGAACATTCTTTGAACAATTTGGGATAATCTAAGAACATTCTGTTAGTCAGCAAAAACATAACAATGTTCTAGTGGGTTTTGGATATTTTAATGAAAAAATCTTAACATATCACTCAAATCAAATGGATTAACTTTTTCTTCTCTTTATATCCGTTGGAAAGACTTTTAGGTGAATGGACTTTCAAAGGAGAGGCATACATCTCTCAGATTTTATTTGTGTTCAGAAGATGAACAAAAGTCTAATTGGTTACAATTAAAATTTTCATTTTATGGTGATATTCATGGATATTATATAAACAATCATTTTGTATATGCTTTAGAACCGATTTCTGTTAAAGCAATAAAGACAGTGACAATACATAAGAAACTACTGATTTTTAAGAGCTCAAGTTTTTAAAATGGACTCCAGACCTTAAAATATAGGTATATAAGTAGCATTATTTTTTCTTTCTCTCTATTATTGTAGTTGTGGCTCAGTAAAATTAGTAAATTACTGGATTTCAGGAAGTGATCTGCTTTGTTTTTTAAAGTCCATGTGAAATGAAAATGTACAATGTTTATTTTGTTAGTGCACATTGTTATTCTTTAGATGGACGATAAATCTGTGCAAGTTAATGCACTGAAGAAAATGTCTGTTTTGGTAATTTTCTATCAAAGTCAGACCATTTGCTTGAGCATTTGGAGCAGCAGTCCTTCACTTTTGCCAGTTTGACAGCTTCAGTCACAATATTCTTTACCAAACACTTCTGACGGATAATTTGCTATAAGTGAATGATGCATAAAAAGAAAGCCCTGCCACCAACTCAATATTCTGTTTCAGCTCAAAGTACATCAACATACTATAACAAAAATCTCAGCAACTTCTAGTTCATGCTGACTTTAACATGCAAAACTTTGCTAATATAAAGATCTTCCTTCACCCACCTCTTCCTGAAGCGTCTTAGCAGTGAGGCGTGATTTCTCTAGCTCTAAGCCTCCCTCTCTCAGCTGTTTCTGCAGCTCTGCCATTTCTCTTCGGTTCTTTTCTTTATACATGTCTATCTGCTCCTGGAGCTCCTGAGTTGAGCTCTGTGACGCCTCCACAATGTCATTCATCTACACAGACACAGAAAACCCATTAAAACAACCAGCAGGACAAAGCAAAACTAAGTTGTGTGCTTCTCAATGAATGCAAACGAAAAAGCATAGACTAAAATCTTATTTTTTAGATGTTTAAGTTTATCTCAGGACTTTCTCACCTCCCGCTGGAGTTTCTCCACAGTGCGGTCCAGTAGCCTCCTCTCATCTTCAATCTCGTTCTTGGTGTTTTTGAACTGCTCTTTCAGACTCTTCTCCTCCTTCAGTCGCTCCTGCAGCTCGTGGTGCTCTTGAGTCATTTTGGTCAAGTTTCTCTAGTGATGGGAAAGTGGTTATTTAACACAAAACATGACTATCCTTAGGTCAACTATTGAAATAGTAATGCTACCCTGATTAATTGTGATTAAGATAATTCGGGATAAACCTCAATGAAACAACATATACACTTCAAAAGATATAAAGAATTTAGTTTCACTTATAAATTAACCTATTACACTACTGTAAATACAAAAAAGTCATGAAATATTTACACTGTACATCAAATAAATTCACCTTTGCCATGACAGAAATAAAATACATTTGAAATAAAATGGAATATGTCATATAAATGTAATCATTTTTCAAAATAATGCAATTTTACTGCATTTTTCACATCTAAATGCAATCTTGGTGAGCTTAAGAAACTCAGATAACTAATATAACTCATCCAAGAATGATTTCATGCAATCTTAGCTCCAGCCCAGCAATGGGTTCTCACCTGCACATCCTCTAGGCGAGTGCTCAAAGCACGGTTTGCACGGGTCATTTCCTCTTCCTGTTCTCTGACCTCAGCGAGAGACTCCTCCAACTGTCTATTCTCGTTCTAGTTGCAAACAAACACATTACAGATGTTTTACAGATCTCTGTGTCTAGACTTAGATTAAGCCAGAGCAAGAGTTAATGGAGACTCTGTGCTGATGAAATTCCAGACAAGACAATCCTAATCTCCGTCTGGGGAAATGGTCTCATGTTGATGCCACCATTAGAACATAATATAAAATATAGTGGCAGAAGATTTCTTGTAGTTACAGTATGCGCGATGGCTGAGAGAGATCAAAACTGCTGCGAGTTAAGAAAATGCATACATTGCTCTGCATATACGTGTACACCCCTCACAAATCTCTATTTTAAATAGGAAATATTTATGCAATATTATATTTGTGCATATACATTAGATTAGTCAGTACTGAAGCCAAATCTGGAGCTTATCTAACAAAATAACTTACCATAACGGTCCAAAAACTAGTACAGCCAAATGTGTATGTTATAGAAAAATATTAAATACAAATTTTAAAGAGGAAGAATCAAGAGAAGCAAACAAATGGAAAAATTTAGTTGAAATTTTGTAGGTTGTAATTTATTTTGGAATATTTTGCTTGAATTCATTTGTATTATCTTTCCGTTTCTAAATAGGTTTGGTGATTAAAATGTTATTTTTCATACAGTAAACATCCATCATTTTCTGGTCAGTGATATGCATCTGAACAGTCTCTGGGTCATTGCGTGTAACCATTTTGGACATTTTCTTGGACACTTTTAATGCTTTCAAACTGTTTGCTGCCATGTTAAGTGTCTTGAAGTAGTTCATTATGATGCAATTTACCTTCTATGTGTGATTTGATTGGACAAGAATTACAGGACTGATTTTTCTAATTCCCATAGAGAAGAAAAAATAAAGTAGTGACTGCAGGATGAAGGAAAGTATTGGAGTAAAAGTACAGATACAGCACTCAAAATGTACTCAAGGGAAAGTAAAAGTACACATTTTTAAAACTGCTTACAAAATTACAATTTCTGAGAAAAACTACTCAATTACAGTAACTTGAGTATTTGTAATTAGTTACTTTACACCACTGCAGATATCCGTTTTCAATGACTTTTCCAAAACTTTGTAGGTTTTTCTGTTTTACCAGGCCTGGAAAATGTCATGGTTTTCCATGACTGTATGAACCCTGTTTACCTTACCTTAGCATAAATCATTAAATAAGATTTATGCAACCATTAACATCTCCTTTGGGGGTGAAAAATAATTTTGATCATTTTAATTTTGATAATAAGTTTAATAATATTCCTATTTAAAGTTTGATCTTTTTGTAGTTACACCACGGACTAAGATTGACAGAAATAAAAAAGTGCTATTTTCTACAGTAGCTTAACATGTCTAGGAACTATAATCTAACTCCAGCATAATAATCAAGAAACTTTGCTGCCATACCATGGCTGCAGCAGGCATAATGATATTACAAAAAACAAGCAAAATTAGCAAAACATTGTTATTTTTTACTTAATGGTCTAATAAAATTAAATGATTTATGTTTAAGTTTAGGGGACTTGTAAAATGAGCCTATTTTCAATAAAATCCTTTAATTCAGAGAGCTCTCTCAGCCACTGCTGTTAGGGGTATTAAAAATGTAAGATTTTTTTCTCCCCACAATCAAACAAATGGAAATCTGAAGGCACCTCTAGTCTACTGGCTCTCTCCCCCAGCCGGCTCTCCTGCAGTTTGGCTTCATCAATAATGCGGTTGAGTTTGGCCACTTCGTTCTCCAGCTCCTGTGCCCTCTTGCGCAGTCTCTCAATCTCCTGAGACAGACGGCTTGTCTGGCTCTCAGAAACCTTTCGTGCTGCTTCCACTTCCTCTTTCTCCTTATTGGCTGTAACATGGTTCTGGAGAGAAAACAAAACAGAAGGACATTATGGATGAACCTGCAAACCCACAGAATTTATTGTTTATTACTGCTGTTGTAATGAAATACTTTTTTGCAATGGCTCACACTGGCCATGTGCACAATTCATTCATTCATTTCTTCAGCTTAGTCCCTTTATTCATCAAGGGTTGCCACAACGGAATGAACCGCTAACTTACCCAACTTATGTTTTACACAGCAGATGCCCTTCCAGGAACAACCCAGTTCTGGGCAACACCCTTACACTCTCACATTCACTCTCACATTCACACTACACCCAATTTAGTTTATTCAATTCACCTATAGCATATGTATTTGAGCTTGTGGAGGAAACTGGAGCACATGGAGGAAACCCACACCAACATGGGGAGAACATGCAAACTCCACACAGAAATGCCAACTGGCCCAGCCAGGACTCGAACCAGCGACCTTCTTGCTGTGAGTCGACAGTGCTAACCACTGAGCCACCATGTCCCTTCATGCACAATTCAAAATTAATTAACAGTGAATTATTTTTTAGGATTCTTTAACAAATAGAAAAATCTAAAGATCAGCATTTATCTGAAATAAAAAAAATCTTTATAACATTATACACTACTGTTAAAAAGCTTAAAATCAGACACCTTTTTTTCTTTAAAAAAATATACTTTTTTGACAAGGATGCGGTTTAATTTGATCAAAAGTGACAATAAAGACATTTGTAATGTCACAAAAAATTCATATTTCAGATAAATTCAGATAAGCTTTCCATTGAATCAAAGAACGCTGGTAAAAGTTCTACTTAGCTGTTTTCAACTTTCAACAAAACATAAAAAATATTTGGAATATCTTAAAGGGCGCCTAATTTACCCATTTTTCAAGATTTAAGAGAAGTCTTTTGTGTCTCCAGCTCAAAACACCTATTAGTTTATTTATTATATATATGTTATATATATTATGTTCCATTGTGATTTATGTATTGTTTATGTTTTGAGTTAATTCAAGCCTTTCTGCAAAGATGAGTCACACACAATGTCATTACAAATTTCATGCGCACAGACAGCGAACACACACACAGCGTGCGTGTTTGACTATGCAGTTTTTGCACATCAAATGTGACAGGATACAGGTTACTGTCTGCTATATGGATATCCGTTATGTTAATGTACAAAATATACCTGATTTAACATGAGCACACTGGGATTGAAGAGTCTTATTTTATAAATGTAATGACATGCAGCTGTGGTGATTAATTACAGCCATTTTACTATATTTAACTTACTTTATCACAAACATGCACTGTTTTAAAAACATGTTAAACTTGTAAAACTCATTCTTGATCACATTTGATGAAGATTGGTGATCACAAAGAGCTGTACAGGTTACTATGAAGACATGTTAATAAACGACTTTCAATCAATTCGGTGATCAGGAAAACTGCACTCCTACGTCACGTTTGTAGTGGGCCTCAAAATGGGCGGGATTTGGATCCTATTTTAATATCAGGAAACTTTAAAAAAAGAACCTTATTGTGTTTATATAATATGACTGTGGACAAACTATACTTGTACACACAGTTCTGTCTAAACAGCTTACAAAAATATGATTTTCATAGGTGCCCTTTAGGATAACAAGACTGGAGGCGAGAATATATTGCAATTTATATTATATTAAAAATAAAAATAAAAAAAATAAATGAAGATTTGGTTGGTACTGTTTTTAAAACCTTTGGACCAGTGGTATCTAAGCTTTTTGTGGTGACAACCGATAAGAAAAACATTATCCTCAAAAAATACACAATGATTAAAAAAACATCTTAAAATTTAGACCCTAGTAGTAATAAAGTAAATGAACTATTACAACAAAATGAGTCTCTTCAAAAAAGTCTGGGGATAGAAGCCTCTGACCTTTGACACTCTTTTAATTTATGCAGACCCATATAAAAAAATAAACTAAATCCCAACAAACAGTGCTGAGGTTAAAGTGAATGACCCGGTGCAGTTTATTAGCACCTTCTACTCAGAGTCAGCTAAGCATGTCTCCTTCAGTTTCTCAGTGACTCAACCTGACACATTACACCATTTCCTGATTCCTTAAGCCTCCTGACGAGTTATGGGTTCAGCAGGCATCTCTAAACGTGAACGAATTCCTTAATTAGGCTGTGCTCTGTTGGTGGCGGCTTCTTTGTCTGGTTTAGGCTTTTGCTCAGCCGGAGTACACAACACTCTGCGTTCTCCTTCGCCAAGTTTTATGAATAAGCGAGACTGTCCTGTAGAGCTGCTGTATGTGTAAAACACATTGTGCCATTCCAGACTCATTTTGAAAGTGGACAAGGTCACCTAAAACGACTCCTAACAAACCGAGACAGATGTCATACAATGAAGGACTCTTTATCCTGTTGATGACAGCTCAAAGATTACACACAACAGAACTGGAAGAGCAGGTAGAGTGTTTGCTATGCACAAGAGAATGACAACCAACTGGTTTAACAATCCACCATGCGCAACTGTAGACAAAGACCATACATGAATTATAGCTGAACAAAAAGGCAAGTGTAATTGGTGTCATTTTAAATTGATAGTTCACCAAAATAAATTATATTTACTCACTATTTATTCTACCTCAAATGGTTCAAATCTTTGAGTTCCTTTCTTCTGTTGATCCCAAAAGAAGATATTTTAAAGAACGCTGAAAACTTTAAACCATTGACTTCTATAATAGGACAAATAAATACTATTTAAGTCAATGGTTACAGGTTTCCAACATTTTTCAAAATATCTTCTTTTGAGTTCAACAGAAGAAAGGAACTCATAAAGATTTGAAGCAAGCATGAGTAAATGACAACAGAAGTATCATATTAGTGAACTATCCCTTTAAGTAGTTTACCTTTTGCATATGAAGAGTTTAGAAGGAAAAGCCTCAAAATGTCATCTTAAATGTTCTAATATTAGCATTTATGATTAGCCTATATTTGTGTTCATTTTTGTCTCTTTAAAGGCAATGAAAATAACCTAATCTTTGATACAAAAGTGAAAATACCGTACATACATACAGGAGCCTGAGAAAAATGCTAATTTCAGAAAATCACTTCAGACGGCACTTAGAAGCTTTTGATCCAGAACAACTCATGTACAGTATACGTTATACTTTTTATTATAAATTTAAAACAAATGTTGTTTTAAGTCTAAAAAAAGTGCAACTGAGCTTCAAGTAGAATTCAATAATTACTAATAAAATATAATTATAGTATTTAATATTATTACTTTATAGATAAAACACCAATAAATTTAAATGTCGTCACCGTAATGGGATGTGTTTTTACATTTTTTTATGTGTGTGTGTGTGTGTATGTACACTGCCTGACAAAAGTTGTGTCGTCTTTGCAGGTTTTGGGAATAACAAAAAATAACTTGACCTCTAGTTGATCATTTGCTATCAGAAGCGGTTTATATGTGGGGCAAAGACCTCTAGATTATACTTATTTCAAAATAAAAAATGATCAGGTCTTGATTTTATTGATTTAATTAGGACAATAAGGTTTCTAAGAGTTTTCTTAGAAAAATTTTTTGTCTCTTAACAGAAATAATTTACAGTATAGAATAGAATATAAAGTCATGGTGCAGTGGAAAATAAATGAATACTGTGTATGACTTCCATGAGCTTGGTGGACTGCATCCATAGATTTCTGCAATGACTCAGATCATTTATTAATAAAGTCATCTGGAATGGCAAAGACAGCGTTCCTGCAGGACTCCCAGAGTTCATCAAGATTTGTTGGATTCATCTTTAATGCCTCCTCCTTCATCTTACCCCAGACATGCTCAATAATGTTCATATTTGGTAAACGGGCAGGCCAATCCTAGAACACCTTGACCTTCTTTGCTATCAGGAACTTCAATGTGAAGGCTGAAATATGAGAAGGAGCAAAATCCTGCTGAAGAATTTGCCCTCACCTGTGGTTTGTAATGTAATGTGCAGTACAAGTGTCTTGATACCTCAGGCTGTTGATGTTGCCATCCACTCTGCACATCTCTTGCACGCCCCCATACTGAATGCAACACCAACCCATGATATTTCCTTCACCAAACTTGACTGATTTCTGTGAGAATCTTTGGTTCATGCAGGTTCCAGTAAGTTTTCTGCAGTATTTGTGATGATTGGGATGCAGTTCAACATATGATTCATATGAAAAATCTACCTCTGGCACTTTTCCAAATGATCCTCCTAGAAGTCAAGTTATTATTTGTTTCTCTTACAACTGGGATCGATGACAAGACTTTTGTCACTCACTCAGTGAGTCAGGTACTGTAGAAGTATGTTGCTTCCTAATTAAAATTGTCGTTTGTCGTTTTTCTTATTTTTAGCATGCCTTTTTTGCAGATTAAGTTTTACATTTGTACATGAATTGAGATGAGTAACTACTTGTAATACAATAGCAAACTAAAAAAACTGTCTTCTGTCTGATAAATGTGACCTGCAGTTGCAAATGTGCTTTTAAAAATTGTACAGAAGTAAATATCTTCAGGGTTACAAAAATCCTGCGACCGGTAATAGACGCCTGATTGTTTAGATAGTGGCTGAAATACCTGTTGATTAATGGAGCAAAATTGCAACAGCATACCTTGTGATCAGCAAAAATGTGGATGGCAAGACACAACTCTATGTGTGTGTGTGGTGATCATGTGTGTTAATGTGCAGTGCTTCAGCGCTAAACAAAGCAGTGACTCATTAGCAGAGTTTGCTAGATTTATGTCGGTTCTGCTTACAGTTCAAAGTCTCGAAGCCCCTTTAGAAATCTCCTCTCTGCCCTAACTGGTCAGTAATGCCTCACTCATTAACCACGACACCACCCAAAATAACTATGGTCACCCACCACAAAACAAACCCAAGCGTTTGTTAAGCCACACACCACCCCTGAACTACAGGGGTCAGAAGGAGGAGTCTCGCTAATGTGTACCTACCCTAAGACAACACACTCCATGCTTGCAAAAAGGCAGAGGA